AACTTTGTTGGTAAGTGTTCTTCGTATCCATTAAGCCAGACTTTTCTGTGGCTCTGTCTGGGTTAGGATTAGGAACATGTTGTTGACTCAAATCAGATACCATTTTCCAATGCTTTTGTCTACATAACATCCTGTATATTAAAATCTGGGAGGTGATCGTATGAGATCGTAATATTCTCTGCTAAAAAGAACCCCACATGCCACACATATTCCCAGCTCCAGTACCAGTCCTATTTCCACAGCAGGTTATTCAGTTAGTGCAAACTCTGCAAGTGGCTTCTTGATTTAATATAATAAATTATTACTGAGGAATAATAAATTACCTTGAAATTTTCTTCCGTTAAACCTTCGTTGGTTTTGGAGGTTCTTATCATTGCTGCAACGTATCTTTTCACTAGATTTCTTATCACTTCCTGGAATAAGAAACAATACAAGTGATTCAACTGCTGGCTCAGACCAACCTCCTTCTTACTGCATTTTACTGAGTTCTTACTGACAGTGGCCGTCCTGACTCTGCGCTCTAAAAAGAAAATCACTTACCATTAAAAACATAACACTTTCTTTTAAACAGAACCAATCTTTGGGGAAGGTTATGTACCTTCCATCCTGAATGCTGTTGTTAACTACAGTCAGCAGGTATTTTGTACTTTTTTCTGTGTATGAGAAAGTCATCGAGAAAAAATTATTGATGTTCTTAAATGTCCTCAAGATATTTCATCTCAGCTGCTGAAAGTTTTTAAGATTACCAGTCTCAGGTGTACATGCTGTGTATCCTGATAGACTGCGCTTGCCATCTGAGGATTGCTTATCAAGTATTTGAAAGCCAAGGAGAGAATGTTGACAACACATAACCTGGAGAACAGCCAGGACCCACGGGGCAATGCACATTCACATTGACCCACATCTGCCAACTGCCTGGGCGTTCCCCAAGGGCAGGTTAGAAGCACCTTTCAAGGCTGCTGCAGTGGCTGTGGACAGTGCTGGAAGGACTGAATCACACCCTCAGGACTCTAAGGGCTCTCGCTCCTCTGTGTTTCCTGGGCTGTTTGTTACCATGCAGCTTTTTGCTCTGTGTGCGTGTACCTCCTTGCTGGCTTTACATAAGCAAACTGCTGCTTCCAGCTTGTACGTTTATCTGTGCCAGCCAACGTACACAGAGGTTGATTTCTAGATACAGAAGAGACTACTCCAAACTTTTCCTTTGTCTCCCCCATTTCATAAATAGGGAGAAGTAGTCTGAGTGACACCAAGCATGAAGATGGTCTCTGCACCAAGGTTTTATTGGGAAGTTTTTTAAGAAATCCCACTGTTGGTACCCGTAAGCTGTGCTGTGAAGTCTGAAAGTACCAAATGTCTATTGTCAAAGGTGACTAATTGTGTTAAACATCAACTTCAGATAAAAATATTCTTCAAAAAGCAGATGTCTGAAGTAAGATAAATTACTAATGGCTTTTAACAGTATAGCCTAAGGTGCCACCTAACATTCTGGAGAATTCTTTTTCCTTCCAGCCTGCTGCCATAATATGTCACCCTGAATTCAGATACTGAAGCTGGTGTTTTTAATGGTTTCATCCTTTCATAGGTTGACTTTAATGAGTACTTGATGACAGGCAGGCTGAGAATAAATAAAGCCAGAGAATTCAACAAAGGAGCCATTCCTCCTTCCTGACCTGTCCAAAACAAAAGAACATCCCAACCAGTGTTTGAGTTAGGGATGCTTTACAAAACAGAGCAGGAGAGGAACAATGCAAGACTGTGTAAAAATGCTGCAGAAATAGTTTTAATCAGGGTGGCATGACAGGTTCCTCTGATGGCAAAGGGGATGTCAACTTGGACTTCAGCAGCCAGACTGATACCTGGCAACTTTTCCACTACTTCAGAGAGGAAGAAAGGCTAGGAGTGACTTACTGAACCGTGCCTCCTCTAATGAGGAAATGTTTTAATCCATGATAAGCAAAATCCTCTTAAGAGGACCGACGCTTATCAAAATATAGTCTAGAAGCAAGCAAGAATCGAGGTACGAGAAAATGAGCAGGAAGAAGAAACAGCAAATAAAAACTTTACACGTTCAAGAGTTTACCTGGTAATGTTGATTCTGGATCAGGTTGTCAGCGTGCCGCTCCTGGAAAGAGAAAGGCACAGATATGTCACCTGCTTAGTCCTGTCTTTAGAGCTCCTGAGGGCTCTTTGCAAGGTATGATCCAGCAACCCTCTGCTGCACCAGCAGAGCAGTGGCCCTTGTGATCCCGAACGTGCACAAGCACCCTCAAAAAATGAAGTATAAAACCCTGCAGCTCCTTACTGTGAATGTTTTGAGGTTTTCATGTCTCTTCTGTTCATTGTCAGAGTCGTTGCCTGGGCACAGCTGATTGTGAATCCACTTGCAAAGGTACCAGACAGACTTGGGACTTGGGACAATGTTAAAAGGAGGGGGGAGAGTGGCACCTTCATCAAAGTAACTCATCCAGAGCTTCGTCCGTGCAAATTTCCATTCAATATCTGCATGGTCCTATGAGAGAAGGAAAGAGAGTATCAACAGCTTCCAGCAGGCCTTCCTGGAGCAAATGCCCATGGCTGAGGAGTTGATGTGTGAGCAATGAAGGATTCTTCCAGCTGCAGGCAAAGCAGTATTGCTTCTTCTGTCTCTCTTCCTGGGGGTGTACTTAAAAAAAATCAGTGTGAAATGTAGCTGGAGTGTAAAAACACCAACCACTGAGAAAGGAGATTATAGCAATGTTCAACAAGAAGAATTTCACATGCTAAAGCCCAGCTCTGCCCTTTAGAGGTTGTGCTTATTAGTTTGCCAATACAAGAAGCAAGAAAACACATTTTTTTTGCTTTTTGCTCACACTTTTACTATCACAAACCATTGTTTCTCATGTCTAAATACAATGAATTCTCACATTGTTCCCTGGAAAAAGATATTTCATAGCGTTTGTTGATTTATTTGGTTTTTTATAGCGTCTCTTAATTCAGCTCTTATAAGGAAGTGACACTTTTTATGCGTGCCATATTTTAAATCTTGCCTCTGCATTATCCTTACACAAAATGGGAGACATTTTACTGTTGTTTTGTTTTTTTTTTTAATTTATATTATCACCATGCTAGTTTGCTGTGCTCTAGTGTTTTTCATCCCAACAAAGTAAAGGTGGAAAGTGAACAGCATCATTTTACAGCTGCAGAGAGAGGTGCATGGTCCATTCAGCCACCAGGAAAGCAATATTAAGTCTGTGCACGACACTGACTTTATAGACTGCAAGATGGTGATCCTGAATCAAGTGATTTGCAGTCTAGTCCATGGAGTCAACAGGCTGTTCTGCCCCGTAACAACCTGCATATTCCCTTCAGCACCAGGGCAGACACATCTACCTACAGCCTGGATTCAGAGAAATACCTGCAGCTGTTCCAAATGGGTTTCATGCTGGTTTGTGCCAGATTTAAAGTTTTAAAATGCCACTTGTATGTTCTGCAGAAATTCTGACATCAGACAGAGAAGGAAGGAAGTCGTTTGAAGCCTTCAAGCCAAGCAGTGCTGACCACAGCTTACAATAGTACACCGAATTTAAATGGTAAATCTGTGTATTGTTATCATTGCAGAGTATAGTGCTAAGCTCGTGATTATGACATTTTATCTGATGTTCAGCATCTAAGTTACCAGTATCTGATAAGAGATTAAACCAAAGCCGTGATGATCTAGGCTAAGTAACAGTGTAAGGCAGGAGAACAGGACAATGCAGGATTTTACGTTTTTGAGGAGATTTCAGCCAGGTTGGAACAAGCAGCCCTCTTGAGTGAGGGACGCTGGGCTGCAGGGCAGCAGCTCTCAGAAACAAGCAGTGAAGTGCAGGACAGGGAGTTTAATAAAATGTGGCTGAACATCCTGCCCAAAAAATGACTACACTGCTTTTCTGGCTACACTCCAGTGGTCTGACGTGGGTAAAATATGCTCACATTCTGGCAGTGAGGGGCAGCTGAACTCCATTTTAGTGGTGTATTCAAATGACGTCCAGCTCCCTATTTAAAACAACTGCCTCAGGTGGCCCAGGAGCACATTAGGCTCCGCAGAGGGTCTGAATCAGCCCAGAACACTACTGTCCCCTGCCAGCTTACTGAAAGGGCTGTTTTCAAGCCCTAGGTAGACTCAGAGAAGCAGCTTGCTATGCCCCTTTTTGCCTCATATGTTATCAGACCCTGTAATCGGGAAAATTGCAGCATCACGATGAAGCATTAGAAGCTGATGCTGGTGGAAATGAAGTTCTGCGTAGTAAAAAATGCAGTTTGCAGCAGCAGAAATAATTGCCACTAAAAGAAAGAAAAAAAAAAGTCCTGCTCATTTTTTCTTCATTTGTCTCTACCTGCAGGCTGCAGCAAGCTCAGCAGAGCTACAGGAAAGCAGGACAAGCTGGTGCCATGCCGCTGCTGTTCCTCCTTCCCAGACTCTGGTTAGTGCTCAGAGCTCCACAACCACCCCACAGGACAACTCCTGCCTAATAACTGCTCAGAATCAAAGGCAGAGCTGTCCCAGGCTCTCCTAGAAACAGGGCTGGCTGCTCCCTGCTCAGTCCTAAAGGCTCACTCATGCCCATCTCTCTACCTGAACGTTTCCCGGTCTGGGCAACTTCAGCTGAAACAGTCTTCAGAAGAAGAATGACCAGCATCAGAGGCCAGGTGAGCCACGGGGCGCTGGGGAGAGCGTGCGGGGCAGGCGGGAGGTCAGACCTCTCTTGGCAGAGAAGGGCCCTGAGCTGCAGCTTTCTGTGCTCCACCTGGACATGCTCGCTACCAGGGAAAACCCAATGGTGGCTGCAGAGAAGAGCTGCACGGCCAGTTCAAGCTTCTAAAGCATTTTGTCAGGAAATGGCTGCATGAGGCCAGCATTGAGTTATAAGTTATTTGTCAATACAGAAGTACGTGTAAATGTCCTGTTAAGGGGTCAGAAGGGAGAAGGTTATAAATCTACTCTTCCTTTTTATGAAGGTCCATCAAAGGTCCAGTGTTGGTGGTGGGGTGGGATCAGGTGTGATGAATCGGCAGCAGTTTCCTTGAGCACATTCTAAAAAGAGCATGTCCTGGGCAGAGGTGAATTAGCAGTGGATGTTGGATGCTGTTTGTAAAGGAGAATAAGGCAAATCTGGAGCTCAGGGATTGCAAATTAGTTCCTGGGAAAGAATGGAAGAAAAGGGCTAAAAAGGTTTTTCTGCACAGAGTGGTTTCTGTTATTTTCAAATAGTTTAAGGGGACTACTTGGGCTTGACACGGAGCTGAATGCAGGTGCACGGCCGTGCTGTGAGACTTAGCGGGAGCTCCTCAGTGGGGAAGTTTTGTGGTTGGTCTGAACAAATTCCTGGGGATCTAAATGTGTCTGTGGGTGAGGCTGGTGGATGCTGGCTTCAGCCCCACCTGTATTTCCTCCTGTGCAGTCTCAGTCAACAACTGCAATATAACCTCTCTTAAAGGACAGACCCTCTGTACAGAGCTTAAAGTTTGGTTTTTTCCTTTCTCTTTCTTTTTTGCTGCTGTAAATTCCCCAGGGATTACAAACTCAGCCTGTCTCAATTATTCACTTTGATGTTTTGAGAACCTGAGCAAATCAGATGAGAGCTCCTGGCAGCAGTTTTGTGTTGGAAATATATAGCAAAGAGACATTTAAATTTTACAGAGAATGTGTTTGTGTGCCAGGAAATCACCATTTTCTTGGTTAGAGCTCTCTGTAGTGCTGTAAGCAGTGAAATCTGCACACAAACCTACAGCTTTCTTAACTCTCCGCCCTGTGTTGAGTACCAAGAGTACCGTGCTTTGGCAATCATTCCATACCCAATCCAAACCTGAAGGGCTCCTGAGTTACAGTCTGTACATCAGTCATTGCATGGGCTGTGGATTTGGCCTGGTGGCCTGGTGCTCCAGGCTTTTGGTGCCTCTCCCCAGTGTCTGCAGACCACTGGGCAAGATTGACTTTTTTGAGAGCTGCCCAAGCCTGAGCCTGCTTTGCATCAAAGCTGCTGCAAAGGCTGCACATAGGTGAGCGCTCAAAGCGAGCTCTTGAATACCAACACACTCGAGAGCCCTTCCCTTGCTCAGCCTGGGCCTGGGCGCTGCACATCACTGCAAAGTGACGCAGCGATGGACCAGCCCTGACCTGCTGGAAGGTTCCGTGCTGCCTGCAGTAGTGCTGCATTAGCCGCTGATTCACAGAGATGGGTCACAGGAGATGGCCGGGTGGAGCCCGCTCCAAGGGACAGCCAGCATGGATGGGACCTGGGAGGCTTCAGCAGAAGTGGGTTTCCGAAGAGAGGGAGGGGACAGGAGGAAGCGCGGGTGCTCTGTCCCTGCACAGGGAGCGCTGGCAGAGGGCACACACTGATGGGAGCTCAGCAGGGCAAGATGTGCCCTGCAGCCACGGCGAGGAGCTTCGACAGACCCACTGCGCAGTGCGGACCAAATCTCCACAGACCTGCGCTGTCTCATACCACGTTCTTAGATACAACTTTTTGGTAACATTTATAATAAGCTAAAGAAACATATCCACTAGCTTCACAAGTGTGACCTTGTTGCTTTAGGATTTAGATCCAAGTTTGGATTTCACTGTCCTCTCTTTGAGCTTCTGTTGCTCTTGCCCTTGTTACCATTTCTTTCAAGCACTGCTCATCATTTCAACTATAAAACACTCTACTTCTTACGAGGGCCGAGCCCTGAAGCTCAAAGAACACACAAACTCAAAGAAACCAGCACTCGGCTTCTCTGTGAGAAAAAAACCTGTATCACTTACTATCACAATGTGAATGTGTCATACTGGCCACATAATCCTCTTGCAAATCTCTGCCATTTGAAGTGAGAATTAATCTCCCATAAAGATTTCCCCATGGGATGGCTGAAGCCATCTTACTGTAGCAGTTGTGAGGATATTCTAATTCACTCAAAGTGATGTATTCACAGATGTGCTAGATTTTAAATAATTACCTGCTACACTAATTATCCAGGATAATTCAAGCATTAATCTCCTTCTTTATCTCCCTGTACAAAGTCTGTTGTTTACATTTTGTGAAATGTTCTCCATCAAGATATCCACCACCATCTCCTTGCTGGGCCATATGGTTTAGATCATACTTTGCCAAATAACGGCCAGTTTCTCAGCTGGTACTGACCCAGCCAGCAGAGCCCTGGCAATGGAAGGCTGTTCCAGGTCTCTGTACGAGATGGCTACCACTGCCACAGCCTCCAGGTTCCTCAGCCTCTTCATGTGGTCAGTATTTCAGCTTGTGGCTGAAAAGCTGATGGAGGAAAATGCTGTTGCCTTGAACTTAGCACACAGGATCTGAGGCACAGGGCTTTCTCCTGGGAAGCCTGCGGCAAATTGGGGCATGGGAGCCCCATCTCATTACTCTTGAATTAGCATCCCTGTTAGCACTGGGATAGTCCTGAGTTGAGGCTGGCTGATGATAGGCTGAAATGGATTATGGCAGCTCCACAATCTGCTAGCTCTGGATTAGGCTGGTGTAGAGCCATGGCACACTCAGCTGAGGTGATGGTAACACTCAGCAGCCAGGCACTCCGAGATCTCAAACTTTTCCACGAGATAATCAGTTACTGAAGGGCTTCTGCCCCCTCCTCCAAGAAGTGTGTTCCTGGGGTGCAAATCCTCCCCACATCCATTTGGAAAGAATAATGTATAAAGATACCTAGCATCTTTCCAGCTGGCACAAAAAGGGCTGCGTGTACCTTTCTTGTGTTTTATTATACAGCAGGCAGTGGGCTAAGCTGGAAATCAGGCTGCTGCCTGTCAAACGCAGCTAGAGATGGCTGTGACAATGCCCTCCGGCCCAGGCTGTCTGGCAGTGGCTGTGCGCCTCAGGAAGCTTTCCCGTTGTGCTGGGAATGCTGGCAGAAGCCAGTGTGATTTCTGCATCAGGAGTAGCAGGACTGCTCTCTCCTGCTGTCCCAGGAGGTGCCAGCAGCAGCCCCACCAGATGAGGAAGTGCCCAGGCTGTAGTACTTTAGGAAGGAAGGAGAAGACACAGGTTCACCTTTAAAAGGTGCTCGCTGACAGATCTTCTTTGCAGCCTATTGAAGAAGGGAGGTTGGTTGCCTGAGAGGCACAGGAACTTCAAAGGTGCTTTTTTGCTGTGTAATTAGCTGCACTGTGAAGTGTAAGCGAAGGCATTAAACTCTATTTAGTATATTTCTATCTCACATGCCTCTTTATTGCTCCTTGCTAAACCCAGAGCAGGAAACAGCACAGAAAATTCATCAGCGATGGCTTTTGAGCAGGCTAGCACAAGAAATACACCCTTGTGTGTCCTGAACAGAAAGCACTGCGGAAAGAGGGTCAGGAGAAAGTGAATCTTTCCAGAACCTGACACAGACAACTCTTGTGCAGTTCCAAAGCTGTTAATTTTGTAATATGTGTTGGGCAAACTGGTAATAACATCAGCAGAGCTTGGGGGTTTAATAACAAGCTCAGAGAAGCAAGCAGCAAAAATCCAAGCAGGCTATTTGAGGTAAATGATGCTTAATGTTTTTCAAAGAAAAATATGTCACAGAAAGAAAAAAAAAGTCTAAGACAAAAATCAGGGACCTACAAAGCTGCAGCTGAACAACAAATGACTTTGCTTTCAAAGCTGGGGATGGCATACTGAAGGATAAGAACTTAATAGGATCAATCTCAAAAATAATACAAGAAAAATTACTAAAGGAGGACAATCTAGCATTAGAAAAAGCAATTAGAACAGCCAGAGAATGAGACAGCCAGAGAAGAGATGGAAGTAGTGTCTAGCACAAAATCACATGCTGCACTGGGTAAAGCAAACCGAGTCCTGACCACAACCAGACCTTCATGCCAGGGAAGCTGCAGTGGCCCCAGGACAACCGCACATGGCCTTGAAGAGGAGCTTGTGGCAATGCCCTGGGGAGCACGAGCCCACAGCAGACGCAGACCAGCACATACAAAGCTACGAGCACCCAGATGTGAGGGAGAACATGCCCGGAGAGCTGCAGAGCGAACCCCACGCGTGAGCATGCAAGGCAGGCAAATAGGCGAGGGCAGGGCGTGCGGCGCGGGAAGGGAGAGCTGCTCCCCGGGCAGCAGCTCAGCCGAGGATGTGGGGTGTTTTCTGGCTCCAGCACAGAAAAGGAAAAGGCCACTCGTGAAGCAGAGGCAGGTCCTGAAGAAATCATACCAGTGCTGGGATACAAGAAAAGTGAATTCTTGGGCCAAGATACAGGTAAAGACTTGATTTCAGAAAAGAGCCATCCTTATCTAGTAAAAGGCAGAAGGCAGCAAGGCCCTTAGGTAAGGAAATCAAACAGAGCACAAGGGGGAAAAAAACCAAAATGTAATTTTTTATAGCAGACATTTTGGATAAGCCATCAATGGGATTACGAGCCTTAAAAACTTGAAAGCTGGATGAAGATCCCAGTCATGGTAGAGCCCATAAAAGAACACACTGTAACCGAGGACGTTAGGAAAAGCTTCCTTAATTCTGCAGTGTCCAAGGTGGGTCCATCACTTCAAGGGAACGGCTGGTTCAGTATCACCAAGACGTAGCAGAGCGACTGCGTTTTATAGTAAGAAAGCTGGGGAGGGACTTTTTACAAGGGCAGTTAATGACAGAACGAGGGGTGATGGCTTTACACTGAAAGAGGGCAGGTTTAGATCAGATATTACGAAGAAATTCTTTGCTGTAAGGGTGGTAAGACAGTGTCCCAGGTTGGCCA